TCGTTATTCCTCTCAGACTGGACTATATTTCATGAATTCGATGCTCCTGACATCTGCCGTGAACGAAGTTAACGATGTTGTTTGAAAGCATGGATTTCTACAGATATCGGAGAACGACGACTTTCATGTTGTGTTTGTTGCCAATAGGTGGCGCACATACTAAAAACGTACAAAGTCAATAAAATCCTATTTTATTAATATGTATTTAAAATTGAAATCAATTCAGTCATATGAGTTATTATTATGCGCATATTTCTTTTTTAACATGTAATAAACTACTTTGTAGAACGTAAAATAATGTTTTACTCTTAAGTAAAATGAAAAGAATAACCAATGACAAGGACTCCGTGGCGCAACGGTAGCGCGTCTGACTCCAGATCAGAAGGTTGCGTGTTCAAATCACGTCGGGGTCAATTAGTTTTTGTTTTTTTTATACTTGCATTTAACTGATTTTATAATAGAGTATATAGCTTAATTTCTGTATTGTGCATGTATATAGGTCAAAAATAAAATTCCAATACCTGACTTGGCGGGTCATACCTCAGATCCGGTTCATTTTTTTCTTTAGAGGCATGCCACTATGTGAAATTTGAGGGTCCTAGATAAAACGGTTCGTTCTGGAGACGCGTTCAAAGTTTGAAGGTTCCACAGAAATGTGAACCTTGCGTTTTTTGACAAGTTTTCCATTTTCTGGCTACTTCTGTCATTGGCTTTACCTAAGCACTGCAGTATAAGTCAATGCTATCGTTCTTACCAATGAATTTTGTATTTACGAAGCTCTATTACTGTGTTACATTTTTAGATCCACCAATAATCGAAAATCCAACCTATCTTCTAACAACGATTGATTGTAAAAGGTGCAACACCGAAACACTACTACTGAAAGCTCATCAATCATATCCGATCCATAGGATGTCTCAAATGGGAGGTAAGTTTTTAAAACTCCAACAGGTTTCAGAATATGGGCGGCCACAGGACGGAAGGCAGGAGGGGTTGTGGCCTCCCCTCCCGGCTGTGCCTTGAAATTTGCTAAAATATATACAATTTTAAGGATTTTTAGGATTCGACCCGCGTCCCTGAGAAAATTTGATACCCCCGCTTTTCTTGATGTTTTGAGGCAAGTGCACTTTTACAAAGACGTACCTCTTGCCGATCATCGCGCCCCTCCCTGACATAAATTCTTGCGGGCGCCCGAACTTCATTCTGTCTGAAAAGTTTAGAATCGGGTTTTATCATTTCTCACTGCAAACTATCCATTTTCGTCTCCCGCTGTAACAAACGAACAAATTTCGGTATAGTTGGCTAAAACGATCCTAATGAAATGCTAAAAAATTCTATTTGGAGCACAAAAATTGGACTTTTAGAGCTTCCTATGGATGTCAAGAAAGCAGACAACTGATTTATACCTTTGAAATTTTTCAGTAGGTACGAATGTATTATAAACTTTCATGGGCTTTTTTTATTTTTCTACCAGGTTCTTCTTTAAAAGCAAGAGATATGCATTTTGGTGTGTTTACCGTGATTCATCCATTTGCAAATATTTAACTTACTGTTTTTATATGAGGGCATGGTCATAACACTTCCTACTTCAAATCCATAATAAAGCTCACTGAGACACAAATGCATATCATATAATAAATATAAAAATACATTTTTTAAAACAAGCTGTTGTTTAGCTGATATCAGAGTAAATTAAAAATGTTTTTTCGGGTTGGAAATGTTTGAACGAGAATGAAGCTCCTCTATCAAATTTTGGAATCAATGAGTGTTACACACCTGTACCACCTCTACTGTCAAAACTAAATATATATATATATATATATATACACTATATAAATGTAGGGTTATTATTTGTTTGATACAGATGAATAGCTGTTTATTAATCTAATACAAGAAATAAAAGTAGTGCAACAACACCGTCTGCGTTTTAGTGCGCGTCTTATGAAACCGTCATGATGTCCTCCCTGCTCCGCGGCTGAGGCGCCAAAACCATGAGGTGCTTGCGCGGTTGGCGTCTGGATTGTTCTAGAAGGGTTCTTCAGTGGCGTAAGCAGCACAGGGGCGTCGTCAATTAAGGGTTACGCACCGACGCTAAAATAAAATAAAAATGGTAAGATAACCTTATCCTACATTCGGCCATTCCTGAGTAGCAATCCGCCTCGGATTCGCTATCTTCAGGTTCAATCCACCTCTTCATGTACTCAGGACAGGTTAACGTCCTCACAATTTTAACTACGTCGTATCGATCTGGATACTTGTCCTGTGTGATCTCGTACGGTCCAAGATACTTCCTATGTAACTTAAGACCTTTATAGCAAATAAGTCTCCTTTCTGGTATTCTTGTGCTTTCTTTCTTCTTAAATTATACCTTTTCCTGTTCTCTTCCTGAACCTTGAGTATGTTTTTCTTTGCCTCTGCTCTCAATTCTTGTCGCTCTTAGCAAAGCTGTTCAGTCATTTCAGTTTCAATTGCTTCCAAATTCTTGTATCTTCTGTAGTCCTCATCTTGGTTCCTATCAGTATTTCAAACGGAGTAGTACCGATACTTCTCTGGTATGTCGAATTTAATACCATCTGCAATTTGTCAACTTGTTGTTACCATTTCATCGGGACATCAATAATCAATTTCGTCAAAAGAGGGATGATGCTTCTATTTATCCGTTCGACTTGTCCATTTCCACGGGGTATTCCTGTATGAATTTTGACGTGCTCGATATTCTCTTCTCGGCAATAGAATTCAAATTCTTTGGAAATAAAAGCCGTTCCTCTATCAGAGGGTTTTCCAAGACTTTCTGTTGTCTCTTCAGGCAATCTATGGTCTCTTTTGACGTCGTGGATCTTGACGGGTATATCCAGACAAACTTTGAAAAATCATCGATTAAGATCATCAGATGTTGGTACCTTTTCTTGGTGGATGGTAGCGGTCCTAGGTGATCGATATGGTCCATGTTGCTTGTCAATGGGATGCAAAAAGCCTTCCTGCTTACCTCCTTTTTTGCTTCCCAGTATGCATTGTATGCAGTTTCTGATACAAGGTTCTATCTTCTCTTTCAACTTCGGTATGAAGTATTCGTTCTTCAACAGGTCTTCTGTCTTCTTCACGGAAAAATGTCCTTTCTCGTGAGCTCTCTTGATTAGCTCTGTTTGCATCGCTTTCGGTACAACTAGGAGTTATTTGCCTTTGTCATACTTGTACATAATGCCATGATTCAGTAACTAATCTTCATAATCTTCCTTGGTTAGGATTGTATTTATTGTTTTCAAATTTTCAACTTTTTCTTGAGCTAGTCTCATCGTATTGACTATTCCTTCGTCTCCGGTGATCGTCATTACCACTGGATATCAGCTAAGGACGTCTACGTGTGGCGTCTCCTTTTCTATGATCTATTTGTAGTCGTACTTTTCTAACAACAAATCCCACTTCTTGACCTCCTGAATAATAGCTAAAACTTCAAGTTCATAACTGCTATACTTTTCTTCAGCTGGTGTCGTTTTTTTGCTCGTGTAGTATACAGTACACATATTTCACAATCTTGTTGGTAAATATGTAGCACTGGTTCCGTCGTTAACAACTTCTTTAATAGCTCAAAAACATGTCGTTGTTCTTCCTCAAATGTAAAAGGTTGATTCTTCTTCAGAAGATCACTTAATGGTCTAGCGGTAGCTGCGTAACCGCATATGAATTTTCTGAAGTATCCCGTCAATCCGAAAAATTACTGGATCTGTCTATGCGTCTTAGGCTCTGGAAACTTCCTGATAGCTCGAGTATTTTCTTCGGATGGTTAAACTTTCCCGTCTTCTACGATGAAGCCAAAAAATTCTACCCTTTTCTTGAACAGTTGGCACTTTTCCTTTTTGACTTCTTGGCCGTAGTCTCTTGCAACTTCTAATACCGACTTTAATTTTTTAATGCCTTTTCTCTCGTCGATGCTAGGAAAAATGATATCAAGCATGTAATAAACACAAATGTTTTTGTTCAGTAGTTGCCGAAAAATGTGACAAACGAATCTTTCAAAGACTGCCGGACTGTTGCACAATCCGAAAATTTATATTGTTCATTATGGGTGACGAAATTGTTATACCTCCTACTGGCTTCTTCTACAGCTACATGAAAGAATCCGTTCTTCAAATCGATCGTACTGAACACTTTAGCTCCTTGCAAGTCATCTAAGACGACTTCAATCAAGGGAAACGGAAATCTGTCTTTAATGACTTTCCTGTTCAATTTCCGATAGTCGCAGCAAACTCGTGTTCTTCCATCTTTTTTCTTAACTAACACCAAAGGACTTGAAAAATCTGATGAGCTCGGCCTTATTATTTTTTCTTTAAACCATTGATCTACCTGCCTTTCTACTTCTTCCTTCTCTGAGGTGACCATTCTTCTTGGTGTTTCATAACTGGCTCTTCAGAACAATCTTCATTTCTATGTCTGTGGTTTTCGTCTTCTCTTGTTGGTAGTTCTGTAAGAGTTCTTCAGCTTCCTTTTTGATTGCTGAATCTCTGATATGCGTCGTGTATACCTCAAAGTCAGTTGAGTAGTTGTTGAGCGTCATCTTCATCAAAAACGTTGTCTTCGTCTTCTTTTAAAGAACTATTCCGTCGCCGCTAATGCTCAAATAGGTTATTTCCAATGATGACCTTGAAACTTGACGCTTCAGTCGGAATGACGTGGAATGTCATCGCGAATTCTTCTCCGTGGTATAGAATGATCCCAAAGTTTCAACTCTATTGTTAGCTTATCCTTTAATTATAATCGTCTCCTTCACTAGAGGAATGTTTTGGAAGAAATCTTCATACATCTCATGGTATTGATGTCACTTCCGGTGTCCAACAATGCCTTCATTCCGATTCCTTTAACTTCTACATTCAGCAAATTCTTCCCAGAGGCACGTTCTATTGTATTAACCTTCGCCGTAGTGCCTGAAGGTCTCTCTTCATTGCCAGATTCCCTCATCGTACATCTTGTTGCTAGATGTCCAAAGTTTCCACATCTGAAGCACTTTACTCCCTTATCTTTGCTAGGACATGCTGCTGATTTGTGTCCTTGGAACCACAATTGAAACAAACAAGCGCTTTTCGTCTCTCGGGATTTGTCTCAGAATTTGCTTGAGTTCTGGTTCTCGCTTGCTCTGTCTTATTTTCCTCGTGTTTGCTGTGTGTGTGCGACACTATTCTATTAGCTTCCTTTTGAGAGCTGTCCATCTTTGTATACCTGTCTCGAATTAGGTATACACCTTGGCAAGACCTCGCAATTACTTCTTTGCAAACACTAATTTTAAGTCGTTCCAGGCCATTAATTTAGACATTTCCTCAAAATCGGATATCCATTTCCTCACCGAATATTCTGATTTTCCATCAAATGGCCTGATACTGTCTTCGACGTCCTTGAATGTCATTGAGAAGCAAGGATGGATATTTCGGCTTATACCTGCAATACTCCGCACGTCATCGTAACTATCGTCGTCTTCTGAGCTACATCGTCTTCTATCCTCCTGGCTTCTGATGTTTTCTGCTTCATGTCGTCTTTGATGCTGTGGAGCATAACGTCTTTCGTGACGTATCGTCTTCCGTCTGTACTGACATACTGTCTTTCATGTTCTGAACCTTCGTCTTGGTCTTATCTTTCTTCATCTTCTCCATAATCATTTGTTTCTTCGTCTTCGTCTAATGCGCCATGATTTTCTTCAAAGTTTATCAAAAACGTGCAAATACGGTCCGCGATCTCATTTTCGGATCCGAAATAATCTAGGTCAAGTCAAGGTCAACTTGATTTAATTTCGATAGATATTTTTTGACAAATAAAAACCTGTAAAAGTCCTTAAACCGGCTCTGACCCGTCTCGGTAACCTTTCATTGTCGTAAGCCACCAAATGCAATGCTTTCGCTGCTTTCAACTTAAACTGCTATATATTACATGCAATTTTGTCAATATCACCCAAAGTCATTCTCTTGGATGCCATTGTTTTATCAAATTTTGATATTAATCACAAATAACTAAGCAAATAGATCTAAAAAAAACAATAGCAAATCGAAAATAGTTAAAATAGCAACAGTAAGTCTGCAGCAAAGTCAAAGAGTATTCAAGTCAACTTGCTTGTAAAGGCAATCAGATCGTGAGGAATGCTGAATAATACTAAATTTTGAAAAAAGAACGTAACTCAGACGATATACGCTTTATAGTAATGAAAATTATTCACAATACTTCGGTATATCAAAATTACAAAATTCAAAACATTAAATCATGTATATACAAAATATTTTGTCTTCTCAGATTCCTGATGCCTCCAGCGTCAACCACTAAAAAGAAACGATCCTACCTTGGGTTGAGTGCGTTGATCTTTTACCTCTCTTACAGTTCTACCTATTGTATTTGCCTCTGATAGTCAACAGCACTCAATGTCTTTGCCGGCCTTCCCTCGTAGCTACTGTTGTTTGTGCTTGCTTCGCGGCGTGAACAACTGCGGCGTCGTTGCAGCAAACTCGGCGTCAGCGGCGCGCTTGATGACTCACACGCTTCGTCTGCTTCTCGGCTTTCGGTTTTCTTCGTCCACGGTTTTACCTCTTCTTTCACGTCATTTTCGGCACAGCTTTATCCACGTCTTTTCGTCTTACTCTTTATCTGTATCCTTATACGTTTCCTTATCGTATCGTATCCCGGACGAGCCCCCAAAATGTAGGGCCATTATTTGTTTGTCTAGGGGTTTCAAATCACGAGTCCGTGGAATCAAATGAATAGCCGTCTATTAATCAAGTACAAGAAATAAAAGTAGTGCATACAACACCGTCTGCGTTGTAGTGTGCGTCTTATGAAACCGTCTTTATATCCTCCCTGCTCCGCGGCTGAGCTCAGACTCCCCCACTCCCAGTTGCCAGGCGGCAAAACCTAGAGGCGCTTGCGCGGTTGGCGTCTGGATTGTCTTCAGTGGCGTTAGCAGCATAAAATAAAAATGGTAAATAACCTTATCCTATATATACATATATACATATTTGTATGTATATACAAAAAAAGGATCAAGCTGCGGAAGGTATACAACAGATAGAAGAATATTGGGCAAAATCCGCAAAAAGAAGGAAAGTGGATTCGAACAGAAAGTAGGATAGGTAACCCGAGCAATACGTATTTCTGCTTGCTGGCTTCATCAGGCCTGAAATGACCGCACAAACGAAACTACAAAAGTAGACACAGGTACTCATATATCCGGATACGGGTGTAACCTGAGAAAATGAAGATGGAGAGGAACAATTCAACACACGAAGTCACCAACAAGAGCCAACCTACACTTTTGTAGTAGATATAATGGACAGAAGACCTCGAATTTTCTAAGGCGACATCTAACCACAACCACGTGGCCTGTTATAGCCTTTTTTGTAGATCTTAAAACTTAAAATACCACGGCAAGTGGCTATAACCAGCATTATTCTACAAAAGTGAAGGTTGGGTCTTGCTGGTGATTTCGTTTGTTGTTTTATTCCTCTCCATCTTAGTTTCCTCAGATTAAGTCCATATCCGGATGTATGGGCATGTGTATCTACTTTTGTAGTTACATATGTGCATTCATTTCGCGCCTGATGACCCAACAAGCAGAAGTACGTGTTGCTCGGGTTATCTATCCTACTCGAATCCACTGTCCTTTTTGCGAATTTTGCTCATTATTTTTCTATTTGTTATACATATATATATATATATATATAAAAATAAAATTTTTAATTTGTCTTATCATCAGCTAAATAAAAGCTTGTGTTTGAAAATATATTTGTTTACTTTATTTATTTCTTAATTTTTAGTATTTATGATCTCAAAATTGGCCATTTCATATATGTTATTAATTGAAAATTTCTTACGTTACTGTTTGCAAAATTTCGATAGATACAGATTATATCACGATATTTTGCAGCAGACACCATAAGCAATTTAGAATGACGTTACTTGCTTATTGTGTTTCTCTCATTAGGTAATTTCTCTTGATACCCATATCATAGTGGTGACCATAGAAATTATATAAATTGCAATTCATTAGCGACCGCCATATTGGATTTGGAATGATTCCACCTTATTTATTACGTTTCCCTGATCAAGCCTTTTCATTTGATTTGCATAGATGTGGAAATTATAAGTCGCCATTATGTGGTGGCGCCCATATTGGAGTTAGGTTGACGTTGCCGTGCTTGTTATGTTTTTCACATCAAGCCCTTCAATTTGATACTTTCTTATATCATGAGGATGCTTAGCGATGACTATTGTAATTACAAACGTCGTCTTGGGGCGGACGTCATATTGGATTTAGATTGACCTCACTGTCCTGATTGCGTTCCTCTCGTCAATATATCATAGGAGTGACTATAGAAAACGTAAGTCGCCATTTTACGGCAGGTGCCATATTGGATTTGGAATGGCACTTTGCTTATTGTGTTCCTCTGAGCAAGCCCCTTTATTTTATACCCATACCGTAGGAGTGACTATGAAAAACCGTAAGACGCCATTTTGCGGATCCGCCATATTAGATTCAGAATAACGTCAACTTGCTTATTACGTTTCTTTCATCAATTATTCTCATTTGATACCCATATCATAGGAGTTACTATTTAAACGATCTTGTAGAATCCGCTATAGTGGATTCAAAATGGCGGCAGTCAATTCATTTTGCATCCTCACGCAAACCAAACGTCTGTACAAAATTTCAGCAGAACTAGTTCAAGGTTCAGTCCCAAGATTTGACCAACACATACTAACAAACAGTCATGCCAATTTAAATAAAGGCTTGTAAAAATGAAAGTGTTGCGGCAGTGCGGTCACAACAAAAGCAACAATGTTATAATAAATAAATACACAATTACTGTCCGATTCAACTTTTTCGTGTGGTTCCTTGATCTACATTATGCCCTAGATATGTCGTCACTAATTACTGAGTCACCTTGTATTTCTTGTTACAGAAGTGCGAGAATACATGTACGATCATCCACCTTCAACTGGAAGCTACCGCGCAGCTTCAACAGTTGATGCCGGTGACGTCAGCTGCTCCTACATTGGTACTGAGATTACTGAGCCAGTCTATGATGAGATTCCGCTCAGAAATGGCACCGGTAATGTCAACGGTGCAAACTCAGAAGCCAATATGTGTTTATATGTCAATACTGTTGGTAGGACGAAATTTTAATATATGATGTCGTATTTGTAAAGTGTTTGTGTAATAATGTCAATAAAACATTTTTTGTTAAAACTGGTTGTTTAGTTTGCCTAATTCATTCTCATAGTCTCATTTATTATAGACGCATAGTCATATTTATTCATTTATTTTTATTTATTTATAAACTACTCAAAAGCATCAGCCATTTACAGGCTAGGACACAGGACAAAGTCCGGTCTTCAAAAATACATAATTATTTCATAATAAAAGGGTACTATAAAATTTTTGCAATACAGCTTTATTTATTGACTTCCTTCAAAGTAATTTGCACTGAATGTCTCCATCCGCCAAAATCAGTTCTTAAACCAGCTCTGGTGCGGCACACGCGTTGTCCCAAGCCCTCAGAAGGTCCTCATCACTAGAAAACCGTTTTCCTTTTAGCTTTATTTTCACATGCGGAAACAGTGCAAAGTCGCAGGGAGCAAGACCTGGACTGTAAGGAGGGTGCTCAATATCATGGTGGAGGTACCAAGTGTCCAATCTTGACTTTGGCCACAGGTTTTTCATAGACACTATGACTTCAGGCAGGCACTGATTCATGTACCACTTAGCTGTGACGGTCTTTTGTGTGTCCAAAACGACACGCTCCACAGTCCTCGATTTGAAAAATCCAGCTATCATTTTTTTTAACAGATCGGAATTTTCTGGCAGCTACGCGCGTGTCCTCATCATCAAAGACCCAAACTTTGTTTTGAGCCTTGGTAGACACATCATAATAATAGAGCCAAGTCTCGTCACCTGTCACTATGCTGTCCACATACCGAGATTGCCCGTTATCAAACATTTTCGGCACCAAGGCGAACGACGAGTCTTCTGTTCTTTCGTCAGACTATGCGGTACACAGAAAGAACACAGTTTCCTTACGTGCAGGATTGAATGAATTCCTGCATGATGGTGTAAGGTTTCCTCTATCTGTTGGTATGACACTCTCCGGTCTTCATCAAGTATTCTCCTCACAGCAGTAATGTCTCTAATGTCCTCTGTTACTGACGTTCGCAACCTTCCTTCTCTCTCAGC